GTAGTTCTTAGAACATTCTTCTATCCGTAAGTGATGATTTGCTTTCCGAGAAAATTTTCTGAAAGGAATAAAGTACTTAGTCTTCAAACCATGGGAAAATCTTGCCATCGCCAGTACTTAATTCCCTTCATTTACTGAGATAACCTGCTTTGTTATAAGTATGGTACTTGTTTTCTGATTTTTACTGAATTTGCATGCTCAAAGCTATCTAAATAAAGAAACGCTATTGTGAATATCAGGGTATGAGTACATATATGAAAGGGTTATATATTTTTCAGTATTCCCCTATGAGCTGTTTATTCTTAGGGCAGAAAGAGGAAAAAGCTTGCATACATCGCCATTCCCGGAAACTAGACAGTACCGAAAACTACTAGACAGTCCGATTTACCAGACAATAGAATTTATCCGATTCCTAGTTGTAAAAGCTGACAGTTATAAATTGTTATGTTCATGGCGACCTTCAGAAGGCATGAAATTACTTCAAAAGCTCCGCTGCTATAAAATTTTCAGATTGCAATTTTGTTCCTTTAAAGTTTCGAAAATACCTATTTTTTAAGTATTTTTCTGTACTTATATTAATATTGATACAAATAATATAGAAAGCACCAAACGTAGCTATGATTTATTTCAATTTGTCCTTTTTGTATTTTCTCACATATAGTATTAACACTTTGTCTACACGTTTCTAATGTTTCACCATAGTAAGCCTTCTCTTTCCGAATGTATTCAGATCTTTTCGCTTTCTGCTTCTTTTTTTAATTTAATTTATTTATTTAGTGTTACCATATCCCAAGTTTCACTCTAGCTATTAACTAGAGTAGCTACTAGGTAGCATTCATTATAGTACAAAAACTAATATATCTTGTCAATATCAACACATTTTTATCTTCAATAAAATCCACTAATTCGATTGATGCTGTAAAAATTACAATTTAATACTTTAGCCAATTATTCTGATTATAGTGATTTAAATTCAATTTTAGGCAACATATGCATTCTTTCAGAAAACGCGATATATTGAGCACCGATGTTACAAGTAAATACTGTACATTCAACCGTTTCATAATATGTAAGTGTAGCATAACTTCTTTTCGAGTGCTTGCACTGAGTCTCAAGTAAACTTTAATGGAACTTTATTTCATGAAAATTTAGAAGTATTATAAAAGCCTCAGAATTATTTCCATTGCAAACATTTATGAATTATGCAGAAAAATATATAAGAAAAACATCAATGAGAAACTATTATCGAATATACATTTCATGACAGTAGTAAAACATTTTTTCAGTACCGACGGTATTAAAAAGCTCAATATTGTGATAAGCTAAATAAAATAAAACGGCATTAAAAGTTTAATATTGTGATAAGTAAAAGTATACTAATCTATAACACTCATTTGATATTTTGCCATTAGAACTATAATGTAATTCTAACCGTTAAAGTAACATTGTATTTGTATTAACTAAAATTATAATTGTAATTTCAATTAAATTTATCAGTACTTGTTGTTTCCTGCACCTTGAGGAAGACGCATTATTATTATTTTTTTTCTATTATATAAAATACTGTCCTCAGAAAAAAATGTCTCTAGACATGATTCTGCTCCAAAATTAATGAATGAGGTGAACAGAAATAATCTTGGAACAGCCTTGGGGCAAGTGCTGCGAGTATGCGAAATGCAAGACTGTAATTAAACTTCGAAAATCCTGGAGACTACACTTTCTTAGAATATTGCCATTCGACAAATTATAAGACCTATTTATCTTTAAGCTATCTGTTATTGACTGAGAAAAGCTGGTAATTCATTGTAGTTAAAACTAGAACTAATGCAGTTATAATTGTAATTGTACCGCCCAGATGGTATAGTGGTTAGGGAAGCCTGACTGCGATACCTAAGGGCCTGGGTTCAAATCCCCGGAGAAGGCATGGCTTTTACCTGTTCGTCCTTTCATAGGAGGCGATGGTGGCCCACATATTAGATGCCTCCATAATAAAGTGACTGCAACTTCTGGCCTTGTATAGACTAATGGACTGTGTTGCACTGTAACTGTTCACAATCTGCCATTGGGGAAATAATAATAATTGTAATACAATGATTGTTCGAATTACAATATAACTTCAAAAGCAATTAGATTTTTTGCTCAGCAGAGTAATAAGTCGTCTTTTGAATACTACTAGTTCAAATTGGATGCCCATTTTGGCAAACAATCTTAAATGTTTAGATAGCTCCGTGGATTTCCTTATGTGTAACATGAATACAAATCATTTTATTTTAGAAAGTTCTCTATGAGTACATCATTCTTCTTAAACGTTTCGTTGCATTTCAATTAAATAAAGATCTTTTCCCTGCTTTTATTAACGGGTGATGTGAACATGAGCCAGTTTCCCTTAGAAAGTCCTCCACAGAAGCATCTTTGCAGTCTTTACCGTAATCCAAATAATATAACAATCACAGGTGCATAAGAAAATTGTACTTTTATTTGTTCTTACGTGAAACAATGATGGAAAATAGTTCATGCAAGTACTTTCACTTGTAACTGAATAATGCATTTTAACTATTTATGAAAAATGTGTGTTATGTTTAATAAAAGACCAATTCGTAATTTTTTTTTTTCCCAATGGCAGGTAGTAGCCGTTTATAGACATTGATCACTACTAAGGCCGGTCATGTTATTAAGAAGAAAACTAATACCTGGACCACCGTTGCCACCTATGAAGAGGACGAAGAAATTACATTCATGCCCTATCCGGGATTCAAACCCAGGCTCTTCGGTACGGCAACCAGAGTCACGAACCACTTTATTGTTCGAGTGGTAATTCATAATAAATAGATTTAATAAAATGTCTAGTACACACAGCAATTAAGCATACTGATTGCTGATCAGAATCCTTTTTTACCAGCTAAAGCAATAGGTTAGATAAAATTATGAGGCTTAGTTTAGTCCTTGATCTTCCTGAAAAGAGGCCCACCAGCGGCCGAGCAGTGAAGTCACTGAACACTGGTAGTTCGGTCCGAATCTCGCAAACGGGCTGGCTGCATGGGTGTTTTCGTGGTTTTCCCCATGTGTAAAGTGTATATGAGCCAGTTCCCTTAGAAAGTCCTCCACGAAGACATCCCTCATCATAGGCAGATAGCCCTAATGTGCTTTGCCATAATTAAATAAACCAAATCAAACCTTTCTGAAAAGAAACGGATAAATGTAATTTTTATGATTTATTTCTTGTGTAATGTAAACAAGACAAGCTTCCCGTAACAAATCCTTTGCATAAACTCTTTTCTTGCTTTCCCTTAATCTTGTAATTTAAATTCACATGTATATCAAAGATCATTAACATATTTGCTTACTAACGTTATGTGCATTTCGGTCTATATAAAATATTTCCTTTAAATAAACTCCTATTTATGCTGGTACCACAAACTACAATATATGTAAGATGATTCAGAAGACATGACAGAAAATATTAATATTTTTCTTATGTGATTATTCCGTTGTATTATTTAAAAACTCATTATCCAAAATGCAGAAACATTTCGAATATAATATTATTGACTGTATTGACTGTAATTTTTCAAAAATTATCACGATTTCCTTAGCCTATGTCACTGAAATTATAAGGGGCAGTTGTTTTTCTGATTAAATAGTAGTTACAATCTCTGCTGCTGCGCAATTTTAATTAAGAGGTCATTACAATTGCATTGTAATTTTTATTAGATTATATATAATTACAGTTATGCTGTTTATTCAATTAGATTTTCATTTCACAATTAAAATGCATATGAGTAAATTGTATATGTAACTAAAAATTGTTACATTGTAATTTCAAGATAATTGCATAATATTATTCCAATTACTATTTGTTTTCAATTGCATTCTGCAATTACATTTGCAATTAAGATCATGATTTTCCTGGGCTACGTAACTGCTTTTATCAGAAACAATTGCTATCCTAATTACATTATTATAATTACTTACTGGAGTTACAATGACAGATTACCAACTGCAATTGCAGTTAAAATTACATCGTAATTAGCTGTGATTAGATGCAATAAAATTTTTAATTGTAATTAGATTATATAATTATGTTTGTGATTATCATTGCATTGTAATTGTAACACTTAAGAATTAAAATGCAATTACATACATTATTGTTGCATTTAAAAAGGTACTTTCTAATTGTAATTGCGAAGCTAATTACAATTGCAATATAATTGAAATCACATATTTCAAAATATTGTTGCAGTTTCTCACAATTTTAATTTTAATTCCAATTACATTTTGCCAAACTGCATCTAAAGTTTGGAGAATAATTAGGCTGGAAAATGAAAATTCAATTTACATTTATATATAAACATTTAAGTTTACTATAGCTGGTATAAGCACAGAACAGCTGGATGTTTTGAACCAGCTATTTATTCGAGCTGTTATTCAAAACCTAACAATAAAACCCATTTGCCCCTAGCAAATAGTTTCCTTTCCTCAATTACCTCCCGCATGCAGAGAAAAATTATCACCTGTCAGTTTACATTAAGAGCAGTGAGGGGAAGGCATTCTGAGACAGGCCCTATATATGCTGCTTTGCCGTTTCATGCCAAAATTTAGGTTTACGTATATATGCTGCCTTGCCGCCATGAGGACCAAAATATTTGGACACATATATGCTGCCTTGCCGTTATGAGAGCCATTATTTTCGAATGCATACATATGGCCTTGCCGCCTGGAGGGTTAACAAGGACAAACTGTTTTAAAGCTCATCATTTGCAAATAACTGTACATAAATTAAATTTAGAAAATGTATTTGAAAATCACTTTTACCCTAATCTGCCCATGGTAGCATATTTGCTACCTTAAATTTCTTTTTTTTTTTTTTTTTTTTTTGCCATGTTTGTTTTATTTAACCTAAAATAAATCTTAACTAACAAATATTTTTTGTTCAGAAATTTCTTGTAGTAGGCATTAGAGGGTTCTTTTTTGGCATGAGAAATTTATGTAAAAATAAACAAAATGATCAGAGTTAAAAAGCTCAAAAGATATTCAACATGAAATTTCTGTAGCATTGAACTCATCATATCAAAAAAAAAAAAAAAAAAATTGCATATACCAGACACATTTATAAAGCCTCAGATATCTAAATGGCAGTAGGAATTTTCATCATAATTAATCAAGAGTAGCAAATTAGACATCATAGGCTTTAAATGTGCAAAAACAGTAAAGTATTATATAAACTAGAAATTAAATATAATTTACAAACATTTTTCTGTATAATGTTTAAATGAAAACACTTGATAATTATTTAATCAGAAGTGACATTTTACACTAAATTGTAACATACAAATGATCACAATAAATTGAATTCATTAGAAGCAGTACACTCAAACCAGTTTTTAGGCGGTATATGAAAATTTCACACAACTGAGAAAGTTACCAATTAAAAAAATCAGTGCTACTTTGGTGGATGGTTTGCATGGATTTCAGCGAGCAATGCGACCTATGCTAAACCCATTGCTAGACAAATTATTTATAACCGATACTTTGTCATTTTATTTAAAAATTGAGTTTTATTATGCATAAATTCAGTGTTTTAAATATTTATTGGCTTCTCTAATATTCTGTTGAATATTAAAATTTTGCATTTTCAAAAATGATTTTATTATGTACAATTATTAAAACAATTGTAATTTTATTTGTGATGTAATCATATCCCCGATTGGGTATAGAATATTCGTGCATTAACAAGCTGTAATCGGCTCCCGGATTGGTTACTGACTATTTGCGAGTTAACTATGCCATTTTAAAATTTTATTTTATCTATCGAATTCCTTACATTACACTTTACAAATTTTTTCATTGATTTGTGGTACTTATCAATATACAACAGGTTATATTCAAAAAAAAAAAACTTAAGCATATTTTTCTTTTGCTTTATAATTGTACACAGTATAGTCTTCATTAATTTCGACCTCAAAGCTACAAACTTTCTGCGCATGCATATTTAATGTATAGCAGACAGTTATAAGCTAGACTAATATTATCTACATCAGTGTTGCAGATTACATTATTCCTTAATCTTCTAATTGGATTGAGCTTATTTTTTAGACTATTAGAGCAATTTTATAAAAAGTAAGCTCGCACTTTCGATTATGTCAGTTTCCAAAAGATCTACAAAGCGAAAGCATATTTCGATGGCCAAACAAAAATGGAATTGCTGCAAAGAATGGATAAAGGCATAAAGAAAATGACAGAAAGGTTGGTGAAAACTAAAAAATTTCGATTGACAAGTTAGTAGGTATTCTTGGCACAGCAATTACACAACTTGAACAGCAGAACTTTGTTAACTGAATAAGAAATAATGTCTCTTTATAGAATTAAAGAGGAAGTATTAGCACATAAAACAAAGCAACTTAAACAAATTACATTGAAAGAAGTGTTTAATTAGGTAAACAAATAAATATTAAGCTTTTTTGTAAATTTTAATACCCTTCAGATCATAATTGCTATTTATTTCATAAATTAGTTTCATATTTGAAATTTTATAATTTCTGCATGCCATCTTACCGGATTTAAATTGATCTATAATCCGAAATCACCAAAGTCCGGATTAAAGACTTTGTACTGTACTTCAATTTTTATTAAAAAAATTAATATACTGTTTTAAAAAACTGCCAAAATATTTATTGTCACATGTTTTAATGTTAACCCTAATAAATTATTTATTAGAATATTTTTAGTGATATCTGTAAGAATGTATATACATGCATATTAAAATATGTCAAAAGAAATTAAGCCAATATTATTAAACGTACACAAATACACGCAGGTAATAAATACCAGGAGAAATTTTACATCAAAACCATGATTTCTCTCGGTAATTTTGTGCCCTTGCCGCTCAGAGGGTTAAATAATTATATCCTAAACTTATTTTAAAGGATTTGAATCTAAGTAATATTTTTATTCTTTTAAACATTGGTATGATGTTTAATTCAATATTCAATTTAATTCTTTTAAAAGTTGATATGATTACTCTTACTCTATATTCAAGTAATATTTAAATGCATTTAAAATGTTGGCATAACGTTATTTTATCTCTATGCATATGTAAGTAATAATTTAACCTTACTTTAATATTTTATACTCACAATAAATGTATTTACATTTGTCTGCCATCTTAAAAAACGACATTTTCAAAAAATAAACCTATTATTCTTAATGATTTTTTTTAAAGCTTCAAATACTTTACTATGCCTAAAATACATAAAAACAGCATTTTTCAATATGGTTGACGACTAAAATCCACACCAACAATTGCCCTAAAGTAAATTGCTAAAAATCTGTACAACCATCTACCAAAGTAGTGGCAACAACAACAACAAAACAAAAAAAAATTGAAATGAGAGTTACAATCTTATACCTACCTACCAAGAGAAATACAAATGTCTACAGCCGGGTTAAACATTTTACAATCACGACCTCTTAATCACATTTTTCATGACCCCATAATATTTACGAAAATTTTACGATGTCCCAGAAGCATTGCAAAATTCCTCACATGCATGAGTGAAACCGGTTTTTCACTTGTACTGTAATATACTATTGGAGTTTTACATCATTAACTTCCATTTTTAATATTAAGACTTAGAACAACGAAAATTTTAAATAAGTAACAGATGAAATAACAACGTCAAGTACAAAGCATGCAAAATGAACATTCCTATTATAAAAAGAATGGTCAAACTTCGGCTTTTTAAAAATATTTAAAAGCTTTGTTTTTATATTGTTCATTCTTAAGACAAAAGTAACTTTAATTAAAAAACTTGCAATTTATCTCTCCCACCATCAAAGCTCAGAAATTTATCAAATAAATTCATTAATACGTAGAAAGAAATGACAGCATACGTTATCAAAAACTGGGTCAATTTTCAATTACTGCTTCCAAAAGTGGCCAAAAAAGATCATTACCTAAAGCTATGCCTATTTTGATTAAAGAAAAGCTTAATGGGAAGCACTTCCGCAGAAAACATCGCCAACTTTGGCTATAATAGTTCAAACCTGGTAACACACCAGATTTATTCTATTCGCTTGTTCGAAGTTTGCAACTATTCCTCTTGCGTTCATTTTTGTTGAATTATCACCGTCGTTCGCATTTGCAGATTTATATTATTCTTCTCTTATTTATTATTTTTCTGAATTTTTTAACAAACAGATCGAAATATATTCGTAGATAGATGCCGGTTCTCGGTTCAGGATGAAAGGAAGAAAATACGGCGGGAGGAGTGAATGCTAATTTATAACACGGCTGTTCATGTTGTGTTCTTAATTATTAACAGCTCTAAGAACCAGCAATTTAAATAACTAAGTAATGCTTTTATTCTTCTTATTGGTTATTGTCATCTAAAATTATAAGAATATTCATTTGCGTTTTGCAGATGAAGATGATGGTTCGGTAAAACCATCGAAACTAGTCCTGTGAAAATTTTGTAAATTAACGCTGATTTTTGTTGTTTGACTTCTGAATTAGTAAGATAATATATTGTTAATGCTTTTCTAACATTAACCTTTCTTCACTTTTTAGACATATGCTTGAAAAACATCACTGACCAGATTTAAAAATAAGCAATGGTAAACATACCTAAATAAGTATTTTCTTTTTCCAAAGACAAGAATTTAAGCCACCAGCTGCAACTTTAAAAATAAAATTTACATTTTACAGATATGAAAGAAAAACTCATGTAATAGTAATAATACAGAGGCTGGGGGAAATACCTTACAACTACCTACTGCATCAGTACTTCAAAAAAAAAAAAAAAATTTACAACTGCATTAGTACTTAAGTATCAGACAGATTTTAGTGTGAATAACCCAAAAGAATTACTCATGTGGAGCTGTCACTTTACTTTAGCATTTCATCTATGAGAAAGCTATGAAAGCCATCTTTCTTGATGAAATGCAAGGAAATCCAATTTTCCAGATCTAAAAGCCATTTTTACACAGCCTTTAGTAACACAAACTAATACCCCATCTCCACAAAAATCTTCAATTGACCTTACATAAATATCAGATAACAAATTTTGACAAGGAAATTAACTTGAGATAAAAATTAGATTTCCCGAACACAAGATTATAAGATACCAGCTAAAACTGCAAAAGTTTACACTACTGGCAGATCAATTTCTGCACAAGACAAAAGTTTACATTTTACAGACATTAACAGAAACTTTCATGTAATGGTAATCACACACAGGACAGAAGAAAAAAATACAACTGCATGTTTTTTTAAAAAAAGAAAAGGTATGACAAATTTTAATGTGGGTAACCCAGAAGAATTAATCATGTGAAGTTGTCACTTTTCTTTAGCATTTCATGTGTGAGAAAGCTATGAAAGCCATCTGTTTCTTGATGAAATGCAAGTAAATTAATCTTACAGATCTAAAAGTCATTTTTAGACAGGCTTACTAACACAAACATCTTCAATCAACCTTACATAAATCAGATAACAAATTTTGACAAGGAAATTAACTTGAGATAGAGATTAGATTTCTCGAAGACAAAACTACACCTTTCATAAGAATTAAGGCTATGAAAATTTAGGTTTAATCCTAGTATGTGGTACACACGGGATTTGGCAACTTATACGATGAGTAATAAACAGGTCTTTCACAGAATATGTACACACAGATGTTCTTTGAGTCATTTTCGGTGTTGGCAATAATTTTCTAAATTGCACCAAGGTTGCACTGTATACCAGGATTTTACCAAATGGCCACTACACAAAACCAAAATAAGTCGTAGAATTGCACAAACTGTGTCTATGTACACATCAACCTGTTTTCACTTAAAAAATCCTAGAATTGCACACTGCCTTAAATTTGTCCATTACACACATTTTCATTTAAATAAAATAAGGAAGTTTAAACTATCATGGTAACCATAAGACATTTTATAGCCAAAATTTAAAAAAAATTGTCACTAATCAAAGGGGCATCCAATTCTATACTAGAAAAATGTTATAGCAAGCATTATGCAAACATAAATAACTGGAAATTAAGTTTTTAATATTAGACAACTCGAAAACACATCGTTTTTATTAATTACAAAGACCATGCAAATAATCAACACTAAAGGGAAAATTACACTGAACCTCAAATAGGTCAGGCAACAATGCGTGAAGAATATTAAAAATATCGGGTTTGAAAAATTTAAGCCAAGTCGCTCCAAATATCATTTATGCACAGTTTGTGCTGGCATGCTTAAACATTCTGTCAAATGATTTTGGGCATTTGAAAGACAGCTTTACTTTAAAGCACAAAAATGATAAGTTTGTAAAAAAATATATACATAAAGTACAGTATGGAAATTAAACGGAACTATTAAGCTATAAGATTAGAACCATTTTTTTCCAGCTCTGTAGCAAAATGTCACCAAATCATGTACACAGGTTTAGGTACTAAAGTTGCATCATAAGACACTTAAGGTTTGATACCAGAAGTTCAAAACCAAGAAATACAACAATGCTCTGGTGATATTTCATGCTTTAAAATAAGAGCAATTTGCCAGCAATGGAAAAACTGCAGTAAAATTTCTGTAGAAATTCATAATTTTGCTCAAAAGGGAACAATGAGAAAATGCCACTGCTGCTGAAGATTACACAGAGATTCTACAATTTTGATGCCATTCTGGTGAAAAACAATAATTGCAGGAGGACTTTTTTAAAATGCATGCATTTTACTTTAATTATCACATAATCCTTAATTCAAATTTATTTTAAGACTGCTAATTTTTTTATGTTGACAAAGTTTACAAGCTGTTATTTTTTCTTAAAGCACAAAAACCACCAAATTGCACCAGATAAGTAACTTTTCTCTTTTCATCTGTAAAATATCACCTTATACCTAGTTCAGTGCATTACTATGCAACAATTTACCTATCGTCAAATACATGACACCTCAGTATCATAATTGGCATAAAATCAAGAAAGCAAAATGCATTTATACCTTTGAATAAAAATCCAGATTGCTATAAGCATCATCTAACTGGCTGACAGTGTCTTGGTTAGAAGTAAAAAAGCTTCACATAAATGGCATTTGAGATTACAATAAAATTTTTTTACATTGCAGGCTATTTGATTTCTCGTGTTTTAGAAAATTAGTCTAAAAAGGTCTTTTCAGAAGAAACATTGTCAGCTCATTACGAGTCAGAAGACCGTCGTTTCATTTCATCATAAAATGGCTTGAGAAAAATTCCAATCACATGCCGCACAGTAAAATTAATGGTTCTGAAGGTTGGTTCCTTGCTAGCTAAGACATTTATGAAAGGAAACTAGTAAAGCTTTCAGAGTGTCATACCGTTATCCGACATTTGCTAATTAATCATCACAAAGATCAGAAATATGTAACTTTTAATAATTACAAAAATAACCAAGGCACAAAAGAAAATTAAATGAAATATCAATAAAAACAGCCTCATTACTTAATGCACACTTTTATATGAAAAGGTTTTGGAGATGAATATTGTTATCAGCTATTTGCTACGCATCACCAAAATCAGAAACACGGACCAAGCAAATATTCATCATTTAGGTAACAGCAGGGAAAGAAATAAAGACACAAATGCAATACCAATAAAAAGACGAGTGATTCAATATCACACTTTTGACCAAAAAGCTTTTGGAGAGGAATTCTTTTTATCAGACATTTGCTAAGCATCACAAAAATCAGAAACACGGACCAAGCAAATAGTCATCATTTAATAACAAGACTGAAATAATTAAGGGGAGAATGCAATCAATATCAATAAGAACAGCCTCATAAATTAATGCACACTTTTAAATCAAAAGCTTTTGAAGATTAATACTGTTGTCAGACATTTGCTAAGCATCACAAAAATCAGAAACACGGACCAAGCAAATAGTCATCATTTAATAACAAGACTGAAATAATTAAGGGGAGAATGCAATCAATATCAATAAGAACAGCCTCATAAATTAATGCACACTTTTAAATCAAAAGCTTTTGAAGATTAATACTGTTGTCAGACATTTGCTAAGCATCACAAAAATCAGAAACACGGACCAAGCAAATATTCATCATTTAGTTACAGCAGGCACAAATAAATAAGACACAAATGCAAAATTATATATACTTCTGCTCATCATTATGTTGCCAAATCCTGCGTGTACCGTATACAAGGATTAAACTGAAACTTCTACGGCAGCTAAATAAACTCGTTTCAATGCAGATCAAATAAACCATTACATGATACATAACATTTTGAGACTATAATTAAGCCATTGCTGAAATATATTCAGATTGAGAATGAAATCATTTAGATCATGGGATTGGCTCAATAATCATCATTATATTCTTATTTACGTTAACAAGTTTTTGTTTAAGCATAACTCCTAAATACAGGATATAGCTCAGACGTTATCGTAATCATTTTCACATCATACGAACGAGACAAAATCGCATCATTGCTATAGTAAGGATTTGGATTCTAATCTCTATCAAAATGCTTCTCATGGCAATCGCCAAATTTCTTATTAACTTAAAAAAAACTAAAAGAAGTGGCCCACTACTAAAATTAAAAACCATTCTTTGTCTGCGCATTCCTACAAAAGAAATAGGTAGTTTCAACTCCTTAAAAAAGCGGCGAGATTATGAATAATATGATAGCACAGTTTACAATATAGGACACACAATTTTCTACCGAGGCTCTCTACAACGCAGGGCACGTGCTTCCTAAAAAATTTAACATGGTTATGTGACCTAAAATTTACATGAAAGAGTAGAGCATTTTCTTAAATTGAGCAGTCCAAATACTATTCCCAATACTTATTAACAGATACTCTATAGTATAGTGACGATTAAGGAGGATTTAACTTCACAAGATTAGGGTGGCCATATTAAAACAAATTAATCGAAATGGTCATTGTTAATATCCCGGCGCATATTTCGTTAAAATAAAGTAGCGGAGGAATATTTAAAATACATAATACATCCGGACTCAACTGCTATACTTAAATTTAACTTATAGACTACCCAAAGAATTCTTTGCCCTATCAACGATTGTCATACTAACATACCTCCGATACTTACCAGTCACAGTTGCACGAAAAATTTAATAAATCTGACTTTCCGCCGGCGTATATTTATAACTGTTGCATGACTGCATTGAGATGTTTCGTTGCTGCTTATTAGCATACATTTCTTTTAATGCAGAAAACTTTGTGTATTTTCACTCCCTGAAGAAAATTCTTAAAATAAAAACATTTTTTAAATAAATTATAACTTTTCATGTAGCTCATTTTTAAAAAATAATGCTTACTTATAATAAAAAAAATTACTTCTTCTTGCAGTATTTGTACACATATTACATAAAAAATATATTTACTACGTTTTTTAACTTAAAAAAAACTACATATACTACATTTTTTGTATCTTTTGTCGAAGGTTTTAGTTTAAAGAGTCATATGAATTTTTTCGTGCAATCGCATGTGGTGAACAAGCGAGTGTAATAATAACTATTTTTCACGGCAGATCCTGTACAATGTGTTGCATCTAAATCATATCATAATTGACATATTTATCAGCAACGTTCAAGTTACAGAAATTTGTTCATACAAAAATGTTTACATACTTTGATTAATTATTAAATGCTGTAACTCTTGTCAATTTGAAAGATTTGATTTGTTCCAATATGTCAACACTTCAGGTAGGGAGCTTATATTGTTATATGTAAAATTTGTTACCATTTCAATTGCATTTCGAGTACATTAAGAACAGAAAGAATATATTTGAAAGTATTGATCTGTCTATAATATGTTAAATTTTGAAAAATTCAATCCATGTTAGTTCTGTTTGAATTATTTTGGATCTTTTTTGTAATGCTAAATAACGATTAAATTTAATTCATCGGAACTACAACCATGCAGGAAGGGACAATTTCACGTAAATATACAGATATTTAAATACATTAGTCATATAATAACGGACAACCACGATGCCTGTCATGTATATATGTTACGTTCATGTAATTTAAAGATACTGTACTAATTATAGAGTTTCTCTTTCTTATTCATGTTTGATACTGTGCTTTTAAATAATATGTTATAATTTTGCTTCCTTTTTTCTTCTTTTTTTTTTTTTTTTTTTTTTTTTTTTTTTTTTAATATTTAGCATTCGAAAAGCAAAATATAAGCTAATATTTGAGATAACCATCTTCAGTATGCTCTTTCCAGTTCCTTTTGTATATTTTACAGTAGATGTAGATAGCTGATGTCTAAGAAACAGGGTTGCTGTTCACAAAAAAATTTTACGTTCATACTTTGTTCAGATAAATATTCTTTTTCCATGATTCGTCATTTTCTCAGATGCAACTATAATTAATATATATATATTTTACATTTATCATTATTCATTATTGTTATTTAAGATTTAAAAAAGATATGTAGGTATTATCCCGTCAAGTATGAAAATTGGTGGAGATTCCACCAAAGTTGCAATCATTTCACCAGAATTCTGAAGGAAATGACACTTCCTTATTTAATAAATAGCAAGTATAAGACCCACTTTTTAAAAAGGCTTTTATTGATTTTTATTATTTTATTAGCCCTTTCGATTTTATTAGAAACTCTTTAGAATGCTATAATGTAGACTTACTGTATGTAATTGTTCCAGTCTGTTGCTGTTTTGTTGGCCGTATCCAGCTTTCGGCTAATCCTAGTATACAGAACACATGGGATTTGGCGACATTAGGTTGAGCAGTAAATGCGTCATTTTGGTGTTGGTGACAGTTTTCAAAATCATGCCAAGTCCATACCATATACTAGGATTTTACCCAACTTTCTTTTCTTCATTCAAGAGATATTTTTTTCTGGCAACTGTAAATAAGCCAGAGTTCTGTCAGTTGAAGCATCTGCTTTTCAAGTGGATATTGTCATTGTAATATGTCATGTTGCGCTGCCATTGCATATATGGCTTTGGAACTACTCTGATATGTGCCCTCAAGTCGCCAAATTTTTTGCCAAACATTATTAGTGAGAAACTTCACGCTGCCATATTGCTATCTAAATTTTTTGTCTACATTTTGAACTTTAAGCCAAAAATGTCTCCAAAAACACGATTTTCACGAATGCAAAAACCACGTTTTGAACACACAATTTAAGCTAAAAATCCAAAACAAAAACAAAAAATTTAGATAGCAAAATCTTAAAGTTTCTAACCAAAATTATTTGACATGAGTCCATGTGCACAGCGATGTGTTTTAACGGCTAATCTTTGGAATATGGTAACAGGTAGTTTGGTGACATTTTGGTAAGGCGATAGAGGTTACTAGTTGGTTGCCAGATTTTCGCCAAAAATTCACGAAGTTACCATAATCCAAAGATTAACCGGTTTAATTAGTAGCCATTATAAGTGTCCTGTTTGTAGAAGGAAATGCGGTTAATCTTTGGATTATGGTAACTTGGCAATTTTTGGTGAAAATTTGGTGACCATCTACTACAGTAACCTGCTAGTTTTTGTTTGGATGCCATTTTGTTTTCACAAAGTAAAGGCTTTTTTTTTTTAACTCAACATTTTTTTCCAACAATTTGCTAGCCAAATTACACTTATGCTAGAACTTTTATGGAACAGACGTGCTTAATCATGACAAAGATTAGGTGTGAAATTGGGAGAAAATGCAGAATCGCAAACTGCTTGTCGCGTTTTTAAGAATTGCACATACACGGTAACCATGTATGTATTGACCTATTTTCACAAAATAGAACATCCCAGAATTGCACAAAAATGGCATTGCACACACTCTTGACTTTATCCATGTACACTGCTAAAGTCCTAGCTAGTAACCTTTATCACCTTACCAAAATGTCGCCAAACTACCTGTTACCATATTCCAAAGATTAGCCGGAAATGCATATGTTTGAACATTGGACAATACCGACACTACTCTCATTTTTGTGAATTTATGTGATGATGCCAGTGTGCACATTCTAGTTCAGATAATTTTAGGAAGTTTTTGGATACTGTTAAGGAATTTTGATTAGAGTAAATTGAAGGGTTCCCTAGGTTGAAGGTTACATATTAATGCAACAACCTTGGTGCAGCTTGGTGATTTTTTACAGATGGAAAGATAAAAGTTACTTATCAGGTGCAAGTTGGTGGTTTTTGTACCTTTTTCCAGAAAGATTTCCAAACTATCAATATTTATCGTACATCAGTAAACATTATCAACATATGAAAAGGAAACATACTTTAGCAATTTAAAATACAAATCTGGATTATTAAATAAGGATTGCATGATGCATTAAGAAAAATAAAACACATTCAAATCTTGATGCATTTTTTTATGCTATTCTTCTTGTTAAGTATACAGTGATCTGTTTCCACTTAAAAAAATATCAAAGAATCCGGAGACTCGGTTTTGTGAAGCCCTTGGCAGGAGCAGCTATCAAGGAAACGTATTTCTTCGTTGTTCCCTTTAGAAGATGTTCTGTATTCTTGCAGAAATTTTACCGCAATTTCTTCCACTGTTGGTAAATTCCACAAGCTCATATTTTAAAACTATGTTTAAGACAAAAAATATCACAATTTGTTTATAAAAACAGTTGGAAGGTTATTTTATATTTCAGGGTGCTCCTTGGATTTCCCAAGTTTGTTTCATTTATTGCCAAATTGTTGTTTCATTTATGGTAACCTGAGTAGTTGAAAATTATGAAAACCCTATTATGACGTGATTGTGGTGAATTTGACTGATAGGAAAATATTTTTAAGGGCATATTTCTGCATTGGATGTCAGGTAGGAAGTACGTAGCTTATTTTGTGCATCACATCGTAAAATGGATAATTGACTGAAAATGAAGGTTTACTTAGTAGTCATTTGTATAAAGGAAATGCGTATGGTCAATCGTAAAGATTGTTCAGATGGTTTAATCACAAGAAAGGTTCATGCAAGAAATGTCACCGACAGTCCGTCACTACAGAGGATATTTTTTATTCTTATTTTTGTGATTTTATACGGCGAGGCCAATATACAGATTCTAGTTCAGGTAATTTTAGAAAGTTTTTGGATGCTGTTAAGGAATTTTCGTGTGCCAAAGACTGTAGACAGAGAAATTTCTAATTAAGGTAAGTGGGTATTTCATTTGTGTAGTGCATAGATACGATATGATGTATTTCCTTTTTTATGTTATTTTATTTTTTGGTTTAAAATGCAGTTTATTGAGATTATATATTTTTTGTTTGGCTCTAGTGTAGAATTGGATGCTCCTTCAATTTTTAAGTGAAAATGATCAATATGTACACGGACAAAACCAAGGGCGTACGCAGTGACGAATTTGGGCAATTCTCGGATTTTTTTTTTTTTTGAAGTGAAAATGAATCGATGTGTACATGGACATTGAGTTTGTGTAATTCTTTGATTTGTTATTTTGGTTTTGTATAGCAGCCATCTTGAAATTGGGCCTTGCTGGCCAGTCGCCAGTTTTTCCCAAGGCACAGTCTAAAATATATTTTAACCATTTGGAATTTCAAATGCAACAAAAAAGAATGTGAATTTGCGATACAACAAAAAAAGAACGTGTAAGAAAATTCGCACCGTTGCTTTACCAAAGGGTTGTTATGAGAACAGATACTAGAGTTTGGCACATTCAATAAAATTTGGCCACTTCTACTAGTGTGGTTGCATTAATACGTAAGTACCCCAAATCATGCTACTTGATGGAAATATATTTTTGTTCTGTATTATAGTCCTATATGCACTTTATGTGGCTTTACAAGCCTAGTTCTTGTTGCTTATTAAAAAAAAAGTGAGAGAAGAAAAATATTCTAAATTGTAAAATATTCCAGTTGGTTGAATACCAGATAGTTGGGCTTTTACTGTATTTAAATTCTTTGTTTTACAGATAATGATTTTTATTAATGAGGTTTTACAGTTAATTCAGATCGTTGAAATTCATGTCATTAATAGTAATTAAAATTTTATAAACATTTTGTTTCTGTAAAATTTTAGATTTTTTTTAGTTGACTATTATTATCATACTTATTTTATATGCCTTTTAGAAAGCAATTGATTTAGTGACCAGAGCTACTGAAGAAGATAAAAAAAAAAATTATGATGAAGCTTTAAGGCTATATGAACACGGTGTAGAATATTTTCTTCATGCTATCAAATGTAAGTATATAAGCAAATTCAGTTATATGAAACTGAGATTTTGCTTTGTATTTAAAGTATAATGATCTAATTTAATGAAAATAAGAATTTTACTCTTGCATGGCAGTAACATTTTTTTAATGGTTTTAAATTTGTCTTATTTATTCCTATCTAAGATATCACTAACTATAAAATGCAGACCTTAATTTCTTTATCATCACATTGGAAATTATTTCAAGTTTAAGAAATAAAATAAATATAAAATTAAAAATTTTTTTTTAAATCTGAAATCTTCAGATTTTATATTATGCCTAAAGGGACATTTTTTAATGTTTTTCTGTGTTACCTTTATTTATTAAATATCATGTTCTTTTCACTTAAAACATAAAATTCAGTTCAACAGCAGTATTGCAAAAAAATTTTAAAACGAGCATATATTTAGAATTTTCGATACATAGTCTTACGGGCTGGAAATAATTTTTTTTTTCCCCCTCCGTACAGTGATGCCATTCCTCACTTTGAAATCATTAAGTTTGTTAATCAAAAATTCATTAAAGTTTTATAAAATATGAAATACATAGTAAAACAAATTCCAAATTTAGGCTTCCTGATGCCTATATTTGGGTGAAAATGTATGTTATTCAAAATTTGATGGCTCTAGGTACCATTGTTTTATCACAATGTGAGAAACATATATGCATTTATGCAGATTCTTCATCACTTAATTTCCTTAAATATAATACAGGGCTGTAATATTTGGTGGCAACAGTTTGAAAAGTGAAATGACAGTTATAGTGAACCAATGCAAAATGCTAAAACAAAGTTAACAGTCCTTCTGGGCAAATTGCCCCTTTGGACTAAAAATATTAAAATATGCATTATTTTTTTTAAAAAAATATTACAAAATTCTTACAGTATGTATGCAGAAAATAAGCATGCTAATATCTAATAAAAGATAAGCCAAAAATCAAATCTTGTTGATTGTATAGAATTTTAATAATTTCAGAGAAAATGGCTACATAATTCATGTTTTCTAAAAAGCAAAAGTAGCAGTAAAAGTATATTTACGGGTATCTCTTGATGATTTTTGGTTGCACATAGATACCGAATTAGTGCAATTCTTTGATTTGTTATTTTGGCTTGTGTAGAGTCAATTTTTGTGCCAAAAATTGCCGCTACACAAAGCCAAAATAACAAAACAAAGAATTGCATAAATTCGGTATCCATGTACACATCAATCTATTTTCACTTTAAAAAAAATCTCAGAATTGCACAAAAGTGGCATTGTGCACTCCCTTTATCCATGTTAAAAACATCAGAGAATTGAACAAACTAGGCATTACGAACTTCCTTGACTTTGTCCATGTACACATAAAACTATATTCACTTAAAAAGTCGAAGGAGCAGCCAACAAAAAAATATATAATCTCAATAAACTACATTTTAAATCAAACAATGAACTAACATAACATAAAAGAAATTCATCTTTGCACTATACAAAGGAAATATCCACTTTCCTTATTAACGAATTAACACAACTTCAGTCAAACAAAATTCTTATAGCATCCAAAAACTTCCTATAATTGTCTGAACTAGTATCTGTATACTGGCATCGTCACATTAATTCACAAAATAAGAGTAAAAAATATCCTCTGTAACGATGTTTGACCGTACGCATCTCCTTCTTACAAACAGGACACCTAATAATGACTACTCAGTAAACCTTCATTTACACATCAGTGAAGTAATGCTCTTTTCCCCTTTCTTTTCAAATGGTACAGAAACTTCAAATTAATCGTACCACATTTAGCCATTTTACCGTCTAAACCACAAAACAAGCCATATACTTCCTAACCAACACACACACTACAAGCCCTTACGAATTTACTGGAATCATGCAACTGATTACGTCATAATAGGGTTTCCATACCATTCAACTACTCGGGCTACCATAAATGGAACAACAACTTCGCGATGTTACAAGGGGTACCCTTCTCTCTACTCTAACCAAAATAGCCTCTAGAGGTAGCTAAGAATTTGTATTAATATAGTCAATGTCAAATAAATAAATAATTAAAAAAGTGAGAAATATTAAATTTGAATATGTAAGAAAAAAGAAATGAAGAAAATGTAATAGGCTTTCAAAAGGTTTTGTGAAAAAGTAGATTGGAATTATAATCCACATACATCGAAATCTATCAAATTAAGATGCTGATAGTAATTATAATTAAATGTTTCTCATTGCTTTAAAAAACCTTATTTTGTAAGTTTTGTATTCCCTTGATTTTTATAATACTTGATAGATAATGCTATAATTTTTACTTGCTTTTTCTATTATTATCTAATCTTGCATATTTAAATGATGGGTTTCCAACTTGCAGCGTAGAATATTTTATAGAGTAATATATTAAATATTTATTTGTCTCCTTTGAAATTAGAAGAAGTTAAAAAAAAAAAAAAAAAAAAACATTGTCAGTAATTTAAAAGTAATTTTGGTTAGAGTAGACTGAAGGGTACCCCTTGTTTTATCGCAAAGTTGTTGTTCCGTTTATCGCCAATTTTCGCCAAGGGGTACCCGTAAATATATTTTTACCAGATTTTGTTTGCCTCTACTGTAGAATTGGGTGCTCCTTTGACTTTTTAAGTGAAAATATATCGATGTGTACATGGACAAAGTCAAGGGAGTGCACAATGCCAAGTTTGTACAATTCTCTGATATTTTTTTTTTAAGTGAAAAAGAGTAGATGTGTACATGGATAAAGTCAAGGGAGTATGTAATTCTGTGATGTTTTTTAAGTAAAAATAGGTCATGGATACCAAGTTTGTGCAATTCTTGTTATTTTGTCTTTGTGTAGCATCGATTTTTGGAGATAAATCGCCACTGCACAAAGCCAAAATAACAAGTCAAAGAATTGCACAAACTCGGTATCCATGTACCGCCAGTTTTTGCCAAGGGGCACCTGTAAATATAATTTTACCATAATTCCCCCCCCCCTCAAATGGAAATAGTGCCTGTTTGTCAATAATTATGCTTTTTAACATTTTTCTGAATCAGAATCCAGTATTTTACCGAATTTATGAGTTTTTTCTATCAGAATATATTTCAGAAGCAAAGAATAAATTTCTGAATATTTATGCTTTAAAGATATAGTCTAGCCACTTAAATACACAGCGTTAATTTTAGGTAAGCATGATTTGTTTCAAATATTAACCAAAAAAGAAGGCCTATGTGAACTTCTATCTAATCTGAACAACATTATTTCCAAATGTGATAAGAATGAAAAGATTTTTGACAAGCACACATACATTGAAAGAGCCACCAAACTATTAAGGGCTAATTAAGATAAAATAACATGCCGAACAAGTATTATTTAGAAATCAAACAACAAAAATCAGCATTATATTTGCAAATTTTCTCAGGACTAGTTTCGATGGCTTTACCAAACTATCATCCTCAGCTGTCAAAAAGCAAATGAACCAGAAGCTGGCCAGAAAAAGCTGGCCAGGAGTTAAGCTACTATAGCCGTCTATTGATGAAACGAGAACTAATATAAAATTTCCTTAAAGGCTGAAGGCAAAGATGGATTGGAATTAGGGTTTGTTAACTAGAACAGAAAAACTTTTTCTTCTTATCTAGTTCATTTGCGAGCCCACCAGTGGCCGAATGGTAACGTCGCTGAACACTGGTAGTTCGGTCTGAGGTTCGAATCCCGCGAACGGGCTGGCTGCTTGTGTGTTTTCGTGGTTTTCCCCATGTGTAACGTGTATACAAGCCAGTTTCCCTTAAAAAGTCCTCCACGAAGGCATCCCTTCCTTAAGGCAGAAAACCCTCGAGGGCTTTGCCATAATCTAATAAACCAAACCAAACTAGTTCATTTGCACTTTGGCAGCTAAGGATGATGGTTCAGTAAAACGATTGAAGCTAGTCCTGTGAAAATTTGCAAATATAACACTGATTTTGTTGTTTGACTTCTAAATTAATATTTAGGGCTAGTTGATCCCTGAAGATTATATGGCTTCTGACCTCTCAAAAGTTAAAACAGTTATTAGGTCTTCTCATTTAGTCCTGAGAATTTAAAAGGTCACTCATTCCACCTTATTGCTAATTGTGCTAGGTTTTATATGCTTGCCAAATTTGAAATTCCTTTAGTAGGTACAGTATCATGTTATTTTGTCAATTTCCCTCATTAATCGCTAACAGTATTTATACTATAAAAAATTCTTTTGAAGTTGTTATTAAACTTTCTTCCCAGTGTTTATGGTTTCTTTTGACATGAAATCACTCTTTACTATTGTTCCAAGTGAGTAAGCATTTAGTCTTGAAACCAGACTTTGAAATTCCATTTTTCACATATTGGAAGTGAAGAGTTAATTTCTCTGCCTAAAGTTTCTTTGAATCAAACCTGCTTTTGAAAAGTAATGACTGCTGTTAAATTGAAGGATTAGGTATATGAATTGCACTAGTCCACTACATGGCTGACTTTTGTATAGGCGAAGCTTTTTGGAAAACTGTCTTTTCAGTTCTGTATTAGCTATTTTGATGATATTTTTCTCCATTTTGGTGGTACAGTCAAAAGTCGTTAATTCGGACACCTATAATCCGGACCTCAAAGCTAAAAACTTTCTGCGCATGCGCCGCTTTGACACATGCGCATAGGCGTTTATGCGTGCGCGTAAGACCTGTACGACTGCACATATGCGTGTGCGCAAGCGCAGAATACGTTTTCACGTGCACGTTTAATGTATAACGGACGGTATAAGCTAAAATTATCTAATTATCTATTTCAGTTAATGTTGATGATTGCGTTGTTCCTTAATCTTCGAATTGGATGCGGCTTATTATTTTTTGTAGACTGTAAGAGCAATTTTATAAAAGTAAACTTGAACTTTCGATTATGTCAAATAGAATTTCCGATGCTGGAGCTCCCAAAGGATCTACAAAAGAAAGTATGTTTTGATGTCCATCAAACAAAAAGTGGAATTACTGCAAAAAATGGATAAAGACATGAAGAAGGTGACAG